GTCGGGCGCGGCCGTGACGTCACGTCGCGTAGCGGAGCCCCCACGCGCCGGCGCCGTGACGTCACGCCTGAGGAGCTGCGGCCACCGGGGGCCGTGAGGGGCGCGGGGCGGCGCGGGGCGGCGGCATGGCGGAGAGCGAGGCCGAGACCCCCAGCACCCCGGGGGAGTTCGAGAGCAAGTACTTCGAGTTCCACGGCGTGCGGCTGCCGCCCTTCTGCCGCGGGAAGATGGAGGAGATCGCCAACTTCCCCGTGCGGCCGAGCGACGTGTGGATTGTCACCTACCCCAAGTCCGGTGAGCCGCGCCCGCCGCTGGGATGCCGCGCTCGCTGCGGAGGCCACCGCCCGGTACCGCCGCCTCGTACCGGGCCCGGCCGGGCGGGGAGGAGCGGGCCCGCGGGGTAAAACCGAGGTCTGAGGCCTTGGGTCGGGCACCCATCCCCGTTTTCCCTCCCGTACCTGGCGGCTGTGTGACCTTGGGCGGGTCACCGAACCTCTCTGTTTTTGAATCCGGGCCAGCCTCCGGTGAGCGCAACGTCCTGGTGATGCTTCGGGAAGAGGGGCCCAAAGAATGGGCTCATTTCCAGCGTGGGCCAGCCCTGGCCCCTGTGCCTGCCCCTCCCGGCCCCTCCTTTCAAGGCGCTCCCCAACCCAGGCACGAGCCCGGCATCCCCATTTCCCAGCATTAACTGACGTCAGCGTTCGCAGTGACCGCGAGTGGTGGAGATGTGATCCCTCTTTACAGTTGGGGCAACAAGGCTCAGAGAAGGGGGTGGCTGGCCCAAGGTCACCCAGCTGGTGAGTGGCGTGCAAAGCCTGGCTGGAGCGGTGGCTGCAGGCCTTTCGGAGGCCCTGATGGAAGCAGTGGCAGTGTGGTGCCTCTTCTGAGGTTCACAGGAAAAAGAAGTAGCTTTTCTGTTCTCCAAAAGTGCCTGGACGGCCCCTTGTCGCCCCTGAATTGGAGGGAGATGCCCGAGCCGGGACATCTCTAGCGTGGTTTAGAAGGTCACTGGGTTTAGGATCTCCATAGTGGAACATCTGAGGGACAGACTGGGAAAAACTGTTGGCGTAGCTGTCCCGCTGTATGGAGTGTAGACACTGAGGGCAGATCCCGGATGTCCCTGAGGAAGCTTGGGTAGAGGCCTCAGTGGAAGTTTGGGGTCACACAAAGGTCCTGGGGCTGGCAGGCTTGGAGGAGGAAGTCCAAGTCCAGTGTGGCTGCCGGCAGCCTGAGCCCTTGCTGGCCTTGTTTTGGGGAAGAGGGAATGGAAGGAGACTGACACGGACACTTGCCATGGTAGGAGTCAGGCCTCCACAGTCGTGCGAAGCTCCTCATCCCAGCCTAGGGGACCACAGAGGTGGGAAGGAGACTGGCTTCAGAGAAACGCTTGGTACAGAGCGTACCCACTACGAGGCCCCCAGATTTGTGGGTGACAGATGTGGCTCTGAAGTGTAGACTGTGCTCTGGAAGTGGGGTGAAGAAAGTCCTAGAGGAGTCCCGTGTTGGTTTAGGACAGGCTTTGCCTCCAAATGAAGGGTGGAAACTTGATTCTGTGCTCATAAGGTTCTGGAGTTGCTGATGGAGACCGGGGTCCTGCCTTAGGACCTCTGTGGGGGAGGAGCCAGAGTAGGAGGAGCTGGGCCCCTGGAGGGGCGCTCCTGGTGAGTGGGTGCTTGTGCTCCACTGGGCAGAGCTGTGGACTAGGGCCTGTGGGCAGCGGGCTTCTGGGGAGCTTCCTGAGATGAGGGCTGGGGCAGAGTTCTAAGGCAGTTTCTGCATATCCAGCAATCCCATCTCGTTTCTAGATGAACCTTTCCAGGATGAACAGAAGCACTCCCAGACTTTTATAAGAACAGGGAACGTAATGGCCTCCTGCCTAACGGAGAACCAGTGATGACCTAGAGAGCCGGTGCACACTGTGCCCCAGACGCCTCTTTCTTAGAACTCAGGCAAAGCCTCCCCTTCCTGCTCCTCTTACCTGCATGTCTGAGGGCCAGGCAGCCCAACGGTCATCTTGTTAGAACAGTCTGCAGGCCGAGACGGATGCTGTCACTGACTACGCAGCCAGCCATCTGCATGCCCTATGTAGCTTGCAAGGTCATTTGTCTTCCCAAAGAGTAGGAGAGGGACAGGGCAGGGCCCCCATTTCACAGATGGGGAGATGGTAGCTGTGGGGGCTGAGTGGCTTGCTGAGCTTCTGTGGCTGTTCCAGGCAGAGCTGCGCTGGCCCAGGGCCTGGGTGTCTCTGGGGCATGGGGGGTGGCATGTGTGTGGTGATCTTGGAGCCTCCCTCTTGGCTCATTCTTTCTGTCCTCATCTGTGCCATGGATGGGCTGGCCCAAGGGGACATGTCCTCAGGAGACAGTCTCACCAGCTTTAAGCAGATGTGACTAAATGTGCTCTCATTTGCCGTGCTGTAATGTTCTGTGCTTCTCAGGCCTGAACCCAGGGCCCTCACATTTAACTCTATCTCTCTCTCTTGGTTTTTATTTTGAAACAAGGTCTGGCTAAGTTGTTAAATTGTACAGGCTGGGCTTAGATGCATGATCGTGCCTCAGCCTCCCGGGGTGCTGGTATCACAGGCTTGCACATCCAGGGCCTGCTGAGATCATTCATTCTCTTTGTTTTTTCTGTCTTTTTGACACAGGGTCTCACTAAGCAATTCAGGCTGGCCTAGAGCTCACTTTGTAGCCCAGGCTGGGCTTGAACTCATAGTGATCTTCCTGCCTCAGCCTCCCAAGTGCTGGGATTACGTGTGTGCACCACCACACCCGGCTGTGATCCTTCATTCTTGTGGTCAGTTTGGCTCCCAGTTTGTTGTTGAGCTGTGCATTGTTGGTTTGGTGGCAGTCGGGGCCAAGGGCTTGCTAGCAGCTCTGGTTCCAGATGCAGCAGAACCCTAGAATCACATCTGCTTCAGCTTCAGAACCCTGGGTGCTCCTTGGCCACAGGGCCACCTCTGTGGCTTCACTTTCCCTTCCGTCCAGCCAGGCTGGAGGTGTGAGTACATTCTCCTGTCACTGAAAGTGGGGAGGCACATGAGTGCCGGGGTGGACTCTGGGCCTGCTCTGTCCATCACGTGGGCCTCCGCAGGGTGCTGGCCTCTGAACCGGTTTGCTCAGGGGAAATGAGGATTGGAGCCAGTGGACTGGTTTGAGTCCTAACTTGTGAGACCCTGGGGAGTCGGGGACACAGGGTGCTGAGTGCAGGACTGCAGGCTGTATGGATGTCCTTGTGTTCCTTGTTGCTGTGCCTGGCAGGGGTCTCTGAGGACTTGCAAATGAGAGGGCCTGGCCTGGAGGCCTGTGCTTAGAAAGAGAGAGAACATGCTTGTTCTGGGGCTGGGCCACAGGCTGGGGGTGACCACCAGCCCAGTACTGGCTGCTAGCCACCACGTTGGGTCCTGAGCACAGCCCATGCCCTGCTGATCTCTTACTTCTCCTGCAGAGTACAGTGGGAAGGAAGGGCCTCCTGGTGTCTGGAGTTAGGCATGGGTGGTGGAGAGAAGTGAGCCTGGAAAGAAGGGGCCTGGTGGGGGTCGGAAGCTCGACCTCAGATCACCCCCTGGGTCAGGCAGGTGCTTTCTCTGGCCCTTTGACTTTTCTAGTGTTTTTGTCTAGTTAATTATCTGCTTGGGTGCTCTGAGCTGCTAGGATTTGTGGTTTCATGCTTTTCATTATTTAAAAAAAATTCTCATCCATGAATTCATCAAACATGTTCCTGCTCCATTCTGTTCTGTGGTTTCTAGCATGCGTCTGTTGGACCCTGTCGTGGCCCTTGGGCATGTTCCTGTCTTTTCAGTCTTCTGTGTTTTGTTCTGGGTGATTGTCCTACGGGCTAGGCTTCGCAGGCACCAACTGGCCCGCTGTGTGAGTCTCCCGTGGCTGTGAAGGCATTCGGCGTCCCCTTTACAGTGATCCTGCTGTTACCTTTCATCTGTGTGGTGTGTGTGTCTGGGTGTGTGCCTGCATGTTTGCATGCTGTGTTCCTGCATGTGATGTGCATATGTATATGTGCATGTTCCTGTCTGTGCCTGTGTGTGTGTGTGTGGGGGAGAGAGAGAGAGAGAGAGAGAGAGAGAGAGAGAGAGAGAGAGAGAGAGAAGTGCTCCCCATTCTGCAGTCAGGTACAGTTTTGTGTGCTGGGTCCTGTGTGCTAGCTTTTGTGGCCCTGGGCAGTCACCCCAGCCTGCTTCTAGGTAGTAAGAGGAGACAGCGACAGTCCCTGGGGTGCTGTGGAGAGGCCAGACCAGGAAGTCTGGGAAGTGCTTGGTAAGCGTTTGCTGGGGGCGTGCTGGTGGGATGGCTATCAAGGCTGTTGCTTGCCTTGAGCTGGGCCTCTGCGGCTGTCCCCACCCAGCAGCCAGCTGGGTGACCAGGAGCTGCCCTTTACTCCCTGAGCTTTCCCTAGTCCTCTGCAGGCAGGGACTGTGAGAACCGTGAGCTGGTGTGGTTGTGAGCATCAAGGATGGGGCAGCAGCTGTGCCCATCTCTTCCCCAGGATGGGCGAGGACTTCCCCGGGAGGGCCGGGTGGCAGGCGGGTGGTGTCCCCAGGAGCCTGCCATTGGGCCACTCCTCAGAAGTACAGCTGTTACTGTCCTAAAGGAGCAGGGGACTCTGGCTGCTCTTCAGGTTTGCAGAGCCCCCAGGCGGTGGTGCTTCCGTGGGGTAGGTGGGTGTGCTTGCTGCCTCTCCTTGCTCTTCCTGCCTCACTCAAATGACAGGGATGGGGCCGGGGAGACTGCTCAGTAGAATAAGTGCTTGCCTGGCAAGCGCAAGGGCCTGAGTTCAATCCTCAGTTCTGCCAAAAATAAATAAATAAAATAAAATAAAATGACAGGGAGGGTTAGGGAGCTCTGCCCCCAAGAGAGGAGGAGAGGTGGTGGTGGGAGATGAGTGCAGGGGCCGGGGTTGGCTGCTTGTAGGACCAGGAGGCTGCATGCCGGCAGAGGGAATGCTTGTGGGCAGGGATCCTTCTTGCTCCAGTGCTGCAGCAGGTAGATAGGGTGGCTGCTCTTTTGGTGGCTCCTATTGAAAGGAGGGCTTGTCTGTGGGGATCCTGACACAGCGCTGTGGTTCTGGGGGTGCAGTGTGGGTAAGGGAAGTAGGAGTCTTGTGGAAGCTTTGCCCCGCAGGTTGGGGGCTCTCAGCTCCCGGGACTCCTGTGCCCCAGTTCCAGCCTGCACTGGGGATCAGGATTGCCATCTCCAGAGCAGAGATTGGGACTTGAACGGAGGTGGTGGGTGCCATTGCCCTGCCACCCTGGGCCGCCCCAGCCCTTCACATTCTCCCAG